ATGGGTCCAGGGCAGTGCCACCCACCTTGCGACTCCTTAGCAGCTGCCAACACATCTGCAACACAGCTCCAGGGCATGTGGCCACAGATGCCTGTAAATGTTAGTTTATTGTGCCCTGGAAATTCAGTACCAAGAAATCCTCCACAGAGATAAGTAACCACAATCCATTTCAGTTCTGCCACCAGCCTTTTCTGTGACCATGCTGCCAGAGACAGAGCTACAGGATCTTGATTTCCAACTTCATTGAATCCTTCATAAGGGTCATCATTATGGTAAAACAGTTCCTCAAAGTTATTCAAGTTATTACTTTTCAAAGGAAGTGGTAAAATCAGGGCAATCAAGCTTTTCTAAATAAACTGCACAACCTTATCAGATTGTCGTAGTGGGGAGAGTGGGAGGACTTGAACAAAGTATATGCTGGATTTCAGAAGACTCTCTGGCATGAAACTCTACAGCAACCATTTGCTAACTACTAGGTGCATGTGAGTTTTTCTTCTCCCTTGTAGATGTGCACAGAATGACTAAACTTCAGAATCTTCTTTTTCCTTTTATTTGTTTAAAAGATGACTGTATGCTTCTGTTAATTTCAGGGTTATACTTCACCTCTATGAAATACCACTTCAGGTTTTGAGGGAATCATGAAAATATATCCCCGTTTTTTTTTTAATAAATGTATTTATTTTATTTATTTATGGCTGTGTTGGGTCTTCGTTGCAGTGAGCGGGCTTCTCATTGCGGTGGCTTCTCTTGTTGCGGAGCATGGGCTCTAGGTGCACGGGCTTCAACAGTTGTGGCTCATGGGCTCTAGAGCGCAGGCTCAGTAGTTGTGGCACACAGGCTTAGCTGCTCCACAGCATGTGGGATCTTCCCGGACCAGGGCTTGAACCCGTGTCCCCTCCATTGGCAGGCAGATTCTTAACCACTGTGCCACCGGGGAAGTCCCTATCCCAGTTTCTTTTGAAAATTGGTTTACCATTCATACCTGCCAACTGTCTGTTGAGCATCTGGGATGTGGCAGACACTGGGATAAGTGCTCTATATACATTCTCTCCTTTAGTCTTCAAACAACCCAACAAGGTAGAGATTCTCAGCTGCATGTTACAGAATGCTCAGAAAGGTTGAATCACTGGCCAAGATGACACACCAGTAAATGACTGGAAACTGACCTGACTCCAATGCCAATGCTCTTTCCACTACACGACATTGCCTTCTTATTAGTAATAGTGATGACGATAATAAATAATAAAAGCTACCACTTTGCTAGGTGCTTCACAAGCCTTCCCTTTAATCCCCTCAACAGTTTTCGCAACAACGTTGTACGGCAGACATTACATTTTACACATGATTAAACACGCAGTGAAGGGTCTGAAGAAGAAGGAACCGTGTGGCAGAAAGGGGTCTGGACTTAAAGGGGATCTCCACCATAAAACACCGTGTCACCTCAGGAAAATCAGAAAAATAGTGTCATAGAACTGCTGAACTAGAAGGGACCCTGGAGATGACGTGAGTCCAACCTCCTCATTTTTTCAGATAAGAAACTCAAGTTATCTTAGCTGACCCACTGAGTTTTCTCACCCATGAAGTGGGAAGAACAAAGCCTCCCTTGCCTTCCACCCCCGAGCCCGAGCAAGTTGTGAGGGTAAAACGAGGTATTGAACATGAAAATAATTTGAGAAACAAGTTTATATAGATGTAAGAAAGACTAGGAGCATCTACACCACCTAACAATGCTATAAAAATTCTATCAACTCCCTCTCCTTCTCTCTTCCCCTCATTTAGCTGCAAGAAAACACACTGATACGCTGTCCTGGACATCGAGTGCGTTTTCATACTGTGTTTACGTAGACATGTACACACTCAGGCACATAATTACAGCAGCACCAATCATGCCAGTAAACTTAAGATTCTGTCAGCTTTTCCAATATTAACTGCTATTTTCAGGCGGTTTTCAAACTTCGCAAAAATTCATTTTGATGTGAAACTAGATATAATACATGGTCTCAGCAGGGGAGCAGAAGTCTCCATAAAAAAAAAAAGAGGGAACACTAGTAGGTCATTCTAGTCTCTTCTAAGAGCTGACTGCCGTTCTGGACTCTTGAATAATGGAAGTCATTTTATTTTAAAGTCACCTGCAAATATTGTCTTACCATTACAATCAAAGAGTTGATTTTTAACAGCTATTGTCTAAATTATATATCATAATGTTTACAGGAATAAGGGGTTGTGGTTGGGTTGATGTTTGCATTCACAAAACACATGCTGCCCTCACCCTAGCCCTTTGTTGGTTAGGGTGAGCTGTAAGGTGACTGCAATTGAGCTTGTGTCTCAGTTTACCTGTCCTTCTGTACCCACCGCACCTAAAACAGCTGCCCTTCCCCATCCCTCCCCACCCACTCTCCCTGCTCTAGTTGTGTCTTTAGCCCTCATCACCACTGGCACACATCATAACCTTGTTTGTTATTGCCCGTCTCCTCCAGCTAGAATGTATGCTCCATGACAGTGGGATCTTCTAATGTTTTATTCACTGCATTTTCTCAGTGCCTAGCACAGAGAAGACGATCAATATTTGTCGAGAGAATAAACTAAATCTAGATATTGAATAATCTGAAAAACACAAGTCTCTGGGAATTCGAAGGCCACGTTCTATTGCTTATTCTTTAGAAAAGATTTTCTCCAAGAAGCTTTTACAGAGTCAGCGGCTATAATGGGATTTCAGAGGGCAGCTTTCTGTGCACAATACTGTCCCCACAAGAAAGAGAAAGAGCGAGCAGTAGCTTTAATCCTTAATTACTCAGTTATGAGTTTCAAAATGTTTTCTTTTTCATTTCGTTGAATGCAGACACCTTTGAGATGTGGATTAATATTTAGGAGGGACAATAGGACATCATCCATTCATTCAATAAGCATCCACTGAGCCCTACTGGGTGCCAGCATCTGCCCCATAATGAACGGTTTTAGAAGCCCCCCATATCCCCAGTGGAGGAGGACACTTTGTCTGGTACAGTCAGAGGAATACATCTTACAATTTAGGCTGCAAAAATCAAAACAAGAAAAAGAATATAGATTTCAAATTAGCCCATCACTTTAGAAAAATTATTTTCAATTTACCAAAGCACAACTTTCTCAGCATTCACAGTCACCGAATCATTTTAAACTCAGAATGAACACTCAATTGAATGTAAAATTTTGACTGATGAGCAGAAATTTGAGAGGATTCATTTATCCCTGGAGAGGAGAGAGGAGTAGTTCCACAAAACAACAATGATATTGTTTACATCGTAAGCTCAGTTGTTATTTTGCTAGACTAATCTATACTCATATATTAAAGGGTGTGCCCGTCTGGAAAAAATAAGTCTTCTTCAGACTTATTTTACAAGTAATATGCTATGCGTTTTTCATTTCCAGGCAATAAACTATTAAATACCAATTACATGTTTAAGCTTGTGTTTATTTTCTAACCATTTCTTTACCTGGTTTCTGAGATGCTGCCTTTGTCTGCTTTCTCCCTTACACTTCCCTCAGTTTCTCAGTCCCCGACCCTGGCTTCTTTTTTTCTACCTGTTCTTTCATTGTCAGTAGTCCCCAGGGCTCTGCCTACTTTTTCTTCATGTTTTATACAGTTCTAGGCGATTGTACTGAAGTCCACAACTTCAACTATCAATTATGCATCAAAAGCTCCCAAGTACATAACTGCAGCATTCACCATTGTCCAGGGCCCACACCCAGGTTTTCAGGTGCCTACTAGAGCTCTCCATGGGGATGTTCTGAAAGTATCTTTAACCCATTCTGCCTAAAATGGAACTCAATATCCTTGGCCCAAACCTCTACACTTCCCAGGGCACTACCCACCTACCCAACCACCCATCGCTCTCTCTCTCTGTCTCTCTCTGTCTCTCTCTCTCTGTCTCTCTGTCTCTCTCTCTCTCTCTCTCTCACACACACACACACACACACACACACACACACAGCTGAATACCTATTAAGTATGCCAAACAATTCTATACCCTTCACCTTCAAAATGAAACTGGAAACCAGGAAATCGTGACATTGCCTTTTAAAACCCTTGTACCTTATTCTATCCCCAGGGAGGCACTCCAGAAATGTTTGTTGAAGGAACCTGTCAGTGAACACCCATTCAGTTCCCTCTTCTCCGTCTTTAGGCCTTCACTAGCTCCTAACTGAACAATTCTAGGTAGAAGTTGGTCCACGGTAGACCCATGAAGAGCCCTGCTGCTTTCAAGTTCTTTCTTATTCCAAACCAGCTTTTATGTTGGCCGGAGTGATCTTTCTAGGACCCATACACTTTCAAAAATGACTCTCTATCTCCATTTCAGTGGCTCTCTATGACCCACATAATAAAGTCCTGTCTCTCCATCATCATGTTCTCAACCTTTCTTAAAGTGGTACCCAAACGGAGTCCGGGGGAGGCATCAGGCAGGGCAGGAAGCTGCGAGACCCCTCTATTTAGTCCTGGCTGGGAGAACCCTCCCCGCAGAACCATTGCGAAGCTGCTGTGGGCCAGTTTCAAGGGCTGTGTGCTAGGCAGCCTGGGTGGGGCCAGGAGGCCCACGGGTGCAGGAACAGGCTGCTCACCGGGCTGTTTCTCTGGTTGGACTCAGACCTGCAGAGCACCAGGCCCAGAGCAGAGACCAAGCCCGCCGAGGAGCTGCGAAGCTGGGAGAAGAAGCAGCGGGCCCTTCTCAGGTTCCAGGGTGACAGCCGTCTGGAGCAGTCCGGCTGCTACCACCATTGCGTGGATGAGAACATTGAGAGGAGAAACCACTACTTAGATCTCGCTGGGATAGAAAACTACACGTCCCAGTTCGGGCCTGGCTCCCCGTCAGTGGCTCAGAAGTCAGAACTGCCACCCCGCACCTCCAACCCCGCTCGATCTCGCTCCCACGAGCCAGAAGCCATCCACGTCCCACACCGAAAGCCCCCAGGCGTGGACCCTGGCTTCTTCCACTTTCTTGACGCCCCATTCGCCAAGGTCTCGGAGGTCCAGCAGCGGCTCCGGGGTGGTACCCAGGACGGGAGCAAGCACTTTGTGAGGTCCCCCAAGGCCCAGGGCAAGAGCGTGGGTGTGGGCCACGTGGCCAGAGGGGCAAGAAGCAAACCCCCCATGGGACCTGCTGTCCCCGCGGTGTCCCCATCCGCCCACCTGGCCGCCAGCCCGGCCCTCCTCCCCACTCTGGCGCCCCTCGGGCACAAGAAGCACAAGCACCGTGCCAAGGAGAGCCATCAGGGGTGCCGGGGCCTGCAGGCGCCCCTAGCCGTGGGCGGCACCGTCGTGGGGCGGGGCCACGTCAGGGAGCTGCCCGCGGTGGTGGTGTGCGAGAGCCAGGCCGGCCAGGCGGTCCAGAGACACGAGCATCACCACCACCACGAACACCACCACCATTACCACCACTTCTACCAGACCTAGAGCCCCGCCCCCACCCTTGCCCCACCATATGAAGGACCCCCTCCCCCTGCCCCCAAGGCATTATTATTCTATTAATTATTGTTATTATGACGATTATTGTTTATTAATAATTATTGTTACTCCACTAATATTCAGCTAGCCTCCATGTAGAAGATATATGGAAACACAGAACTAAACTTTTATTTATATGTCGTGGGGGCTGCATAACTTACCCAAGAAATGACTCTGGGTTTGGAAGTGGCCTGTAGTGGCAGAGGCTCCCTGGGGCTCCGGAGCTGCAGTGTCCACGCAGGCCATTCCACACGCTTCCCAGCCCCGGGCAAGCCCTCGGCCAGAGCTCTGACCCATCCCAGTCTCTTCCAGGAGAACACCCTTCCCTGGCCCGGCTTCCAGAGACCCTTGAAGTCTCCGAGAAGATGAACAGCTGCTACCTCTTAGTATCTGATTTTATTTTGCCCTTAACTGATTGTAATGTGCTACAAGGGATTTCAGCGGACTGCGCGACCTTCCCAGCTGTTGTGTTTTTATGTCCCAACCTAGAAAGCTTAGCTGTCCTTGCTGGAGTTATCTTTCACACCTTTCCAGTGGGATCACGCCTCTGCCCCAAACCAGTCCCATCTTTTCTGTCGTGCGCAACATGAAAATACATTTCTCTTTTTTCTCTCCTCCTCCTCTCTTCTTTAGAAAGATACACACCCATATTTAAAGACTGCCCCTGAAACCAGCCTTCTCATTTTGGAAACCTCCGGAGAGGGAACCAACCACACAGACAAGTGTGGTTTTCCCAGATCGGGCAATTGTGTGTTGTTGGTTGTGACCGAAGATGTGGAAACCTGGTGTCCTACCATTGGCAAATATATACATACCTACGTGGTTCTCTGAAAGAGCTTTCTGTATCTGTAGATAGATGCCATCTGTCCATTTCTATGTATCTTTCTATAAATATACACTCTCAGGTAAAAAAAAAAAAAAGTGGTACCCAAACTAACTCTTTAACTTCATCCCTCACCCCTCCCCAACCCTAACCCCAAACCACACAGACACTCTCACACTCCAACCAGAGCAAACTCCTGCAAACACAACATGCTTTTTCGTACTCTCCACCTGTGAGCACTGTCCCCTCCACCAGGGTTGCTACTTTCTAGTCTCCTTCCTCTGAGGCTTAGAATGGCCTTCTTACTCTTCAAGAACAAAGTCAAATACTGCTGCGTCTACGGAACCCTTCCTTAGGCAGTTAGTTACTCTTCGTGCTGTATCCCTAGTGCTTACCATATAGCATTATAATCCCAAGGAGCTTGTGCATTAATCTGCCCTGGTAAACAGTGAGATTCCCAAAGTGCTCATTAGTCCTATTTATACCCCACAATCCCCAGCACAGTGCGAGGCTCAACAAATGTTTGTTGAATCAAGACGAGTTCAAATCTCGGAGCATCTCACATTCTATAGAAGGTGTAAATTAGAAAAAAAATCACACGACAAATAAAAACAGCACCAGGCCCTATATGATCAAGTGCTGGGCTGTTATAAGCCATTTTGCACCGTCCACTGTAATTTCATCTGTGTGTATGTTACATCTCCATGACCACATTATAAATCCCTCAGCGGCAGAGACTCAGCACTGGATGAACAACTGGGTGGACTTGCAAGAAGAACTTCTAAGGGCTAGGCTCTTGTTCTGAGGGTCTTAAAAACCATCTGGGGACTCTCTATTCCTATACCTGGAGGGCCAGGTATGGTGGAACACAGGTCCTCACCAAGAACAGAGGAGGATTTGTTGGGCCTCTGACCCAGCAAGCAGACAGGAACCAAGGGTCCTTCAGCACCATCTCAGTTCATGCCACTGAACCCACACTCACAAGGCACTTCCCTGAGATAAGCAAAAACAGAGGTTTGTACAGATGGGTGCAGAGGTGCTAGATTTTTTAAAAGGTGAGGAAATATGTCAGTAAAAAGAAAGTGCTCTTCTCAAATGAGAGTCCGTGATTTGCTTTTATAGCACGGCTGGCATGTAGCCAGGACTCCAGGAATTTGGCAGTCACTTAGGGCAGCTTCTACAGGAGGTTAAATGAATTCCACAGTGATAGCGAATTCTTGACAATGGTTAGCAGCTATAACAAGCTGGAGATCTGTCCATATTGCACCCCCATCCATCTCCGCATGGTCCTGAGTAAACTCACACTAACTGGCTTGGCTCCCCTTCTTCCACCCAAAGCCATTTCAGAGGAATATGAGTAGATGCCATTTGTTGCTTGTCACTTCTGGACTGAAATTCAACTTGTAGGCTTGTGTGGCTGTATTTTAAATTACATCTGGGTCCTCTGATATCAGACATGGCTGATGGTCTTTAAGGAACACAGCGATAGGGGGTTACCTGTCAGCAACAAGAAGCCACTCACCGGAGGGAAAGAGGTGTGGGAGGGGAGGGACATATTTCTTGGAATGAGTAAAATGTGCTGGTTTCGTTCCTTTTTAAGATCTTTTCTTTTCTTCTTGTAAGTTTGCTAGGGAGTCCCTTGTAGCATTCTGGCAGGAGTCAGATGTTTTGACAGTGTCTCTCAACCAGTAAGTTGAGGAAAGTTTCCATCTGGGACAGGTAACAATCATTTCCTCCTGACATCTGGGGCTTCCTGTAATGACTTTCCAGGCATGGGTGCCCGTTTGACTGAGGATCTAGGCTCAGTCCTGGGATCTGCTACTGTTCCTGGTCAAGCCAGGAGCCCACCCTGGTGGCTAAGCTGTCCCAGAGGGCCACCTCATCCACGACCCCCAATATAAAAGCTGAAAAGCAAGGGGAACCCTCCCCTCCCTCTACTTTCTTTGCTTCTGGATCCTCTGACTCCAGAGAGCAGAGCTGCCTTAGCTAGAAATCAAGGAACCATACTCCCCAGTAATGACAGAAGCCATTTCTTCCCAAGCTTGACACCTGAACCTTTGCGTTGCAATGGTTTCATTTTGGCCACTTAGTATAATTTCTCTCACCTTACTCAGTAGGGTTATCTGTACTAAAAAGTGTCATGTTCATCCAGGTAGACAATCCCCCAGACCTCTGCAGAGCCTGCAGCAGGCCCAGTTATGTGTAGAAATCGTCCGAGTCCAGGTCGAGAAAAAAAATTTTCCCCTCCTGCCAACCATTTCTCTGAGAACAGTTTTTGTGAAGAGCCCCCTATATTCTATACTCATCACAGCTGGAAAGTCTCCCTCATTCTTCAAGGTAATAAGAGCGAACACATATTCATTCAGAGTCAATCATGTGCTAAAGCTTTCCAATGCACTGGCTTGTTTACTCTCCATTTTACAGATGAGAAACTGAGGCTCCGAGAGATGAATCCAGTAAGTGGCTAGATAGTAAGAACGACAAGTTTTGTATGCAGGTATTTCTGACTCCACCCACTGATACTTTGCCTTCAGAAACTGGGCCCTCCTATGAATTCGAAGCATTTGGTCAAAGTGCAGTTTTTGCTAAGCACCCTGAGAACTTGTTTTGTCTCCATTGAGTCTGCTGAGCCCTGAATTACCAAGAACTCAGGATCCACCAGTGCACCTGCCCAGGTTGTTTCTCTGTGGGCCTCTCATGGCACCTTTAGCCTCTGGGCCACAAAACCATGGAGGAGTGGTCTAGGCTCAAGAAAACATTACAGCATCTCAAATTGTAATAGACTAAAACCTTTAGTGTTATCTTAGTCTTGGACTGTGACTTCCACACACAGACACTCATCAGGGGGAGGTCCTTTGGAAGCAGGACAACAGCCCTGAGAGCTAAGAAGGAGAAGAGTGCAGTTATCCGCTGGGTGCCCCTGAGCTCTGGGAACCCTTCCAGCCCACTGGCATGGGATAGAGAGCTGCTGCTCTTCCCTGCTGAGTCCAGGTGACCCTTCCTGGGTCCATGTGGGTGGGGGCCCAGGGAGTGCAAACACCCTGCCTCCCCAGACCTCCCAATGGGGATGGGATCCCTGGGTGGGAACTTCAGTATGTCCATGTGCCATCCACAACTGGGATTCCCCCCTTAGGGTGGACCCCTGACCCCTTAGACTAGAACACCCCGCAGTCTGAGCAGGCCTGCAGGACAGGAGGGGCCTAAGCGAGGTCCCCTCCTCTCATTCCTAATGCTGCATTTTGATGTGGGCCCCTCTGATTTGGCCTCCCCACTTCTCACAGAGCATGAGTAAGTACTGCCCACTCTAGGGCCCTGCCTCATCCTTCTCCGAGTTAAGGGTGAGTATCAGCTGTCAGTAGGAGCACTGCTGTCCTCAGAGGAGGCCGCTGTGTGGAGCCCCACTTCAGACTAGGCGGAGCATCGTTCAGAGTTTAACTGAGGGTGCGGGAGAGCTGCTAGACATTCCAGTTCAATCTCCATTTAGATCTATTCATAGCTTGGGCAGTTTTCTCTCGTAAATCGTTCTCATGATTTACGATAGATCCTATGTAAATCATGCAAATCTGCTGCAAACTGGAGTATTTGTCACAAATAGGCTTTGAAGGCGTGTTGGTGATGAGTGAAGTACTGTTTGTGCACTGTGAGATCCAGGAGTCCTTGAAATTGTGTTTACGTATGATAGTATTCCTAGAAGCCTTTACGTCCAAGAATCTCCGTCCCCTCTCTGAAAATCCTGATCTTGCAAATGCTCATGAGAACCACCTAAGGCTAATGGGGGGATGAAGAGGCCCCCAATTCCTTCTGCCCTCAACTTGGGCTGCTCACTCAACCACGACAGCTACCATTAATAGCTTGGTGCATGCCCCTTCCTTGCCTCCAGACCTATTACCCACCTCACAGAGGGAATTGGGAAGGCCAATTTAATTTAATTGATTACCACTTACAAAGCTGTGGTTACTCCTCTGAGAGGGCTATTTAAAGTTTCTGAGGTATATAGAGATAATAAAATAAAAAGCAACAGTGCAAGGTAAAGGATGATTATCAAATTGCTCTGGGGACCTTCAATGTGAAAAAGATACAAAAGAAAGATTGAAAGGTATTAGTCTATAAGTCTCACTGAGGTCAGAAGACTAGAGCAAACCTTTTTTAAAAGAGGAGATAAAACTTTAGAAAATACTTCACACACACATACACAGTATAGTCCTTTCTCAGATAAATGTGAGTTCCTGTCTTAGACTACTTTAACATTGTTAACCTATTTTAAATTCCTATGGCACAGCAAGAGGCTTACATAGTTATAAGATTTTTTTTTTTAAT